GCACACTATCTTAAAGTATAAGCAGTTTTCACCAGTTCTGTAACTAGTCCATCTTCATTAGGACCGATTTGTATAAACAGCCACATTCATTATGAGCCTACTTAACGCCGCTTGTCTCTATAAACACTTTGCCTTTCTACATGGCTTCCATCCACCCAAAAATAAAAAAGAGTTTGTGTACTAAGTTGATCAGAGTCAAGTATAAAATCCATGATGCAGTCTATTTTCTTTATAATCTTGACAGATACTTCATTTTTTATGTACCTCTAGAAAGGCTTTGTATTACCCACAGTTAATTGATAGAATATTTATGTGAATATGTATAGAATGTAAATAAATAAATGCCTGTCGATCAATAAAGAATCTTTTTCTACATAAGTTTCATTGCAAGACGATGACAAACGAAGACTTTTTATATATTTTATTAATAAAAAACCTTTACTTTAGTTAAAACTACAATAACCAAGCAGACTATAATTATTCCTGCTTGCTAAACGAAGTTTTGAAAAAAGTATTTAAAGACTCGTTACATCAAATTGTTGCATGAACCTGCTGGATATTGTCTACTTTAGGAACGATCTACAAAAAAGATGTCGGACACTATGGATATGTCAACAGGATTCTTTCATTGATCTAAAAGGTCACATCGATATGAATATGTAGTTGTGTTATGAAAACATTACCTAGTTTAATTGAAAATGGATTAATTAATGAGGGTACATTTTTTTAATTGTGTGGGTATTTTGTTACAAATTTGTGCTTCTTCGAACATTCTTTTGCCGTAATTTGTTCTCACCCTCGGGATGACTAAGAAACTGTGGCGACACATACTTTTCAACGGATGACGTCACAAAAATCCAACATCGCACATGGAAAGTTTACATGCAAATTAACACGGATAGAAAATCCCAACGAACAACTGTTGGGCAGAAAGCCCGCCAGGTACGATCACCTCGCCTAGTCGGAGGATCCTCCTTTTCCGATCTTAGGGAACTATACACTCTGTTCCCTAAGTCACCTAACGGAGCAGATCAGCACCGTCATCCTTCATCCATGGCGATAGCCATCCCTCTCATCTATCACTTCTCCGCTGAGCGGTAATCAAGTCGCAGCCAACCAGCATCCTCGGTCTCATTAGGGACCACCATCGCCTGCAACGAAGTTGTGCAGCCTGGTTCTTCCCTACGGCCTCACCACCGTCTAGGCACAGCACTTCTGCACACGTTTCTGAAGGACATCTCCTCCCGTCAAGGCAGATGCCAGCCACTACGCACCTACCCTCGCAGCATCTATTCCCCGACTTACCGTGGGACACTGCGAGCTCATCTCTCCGACTCACTGGGAATTTAGCGGCACAGTTCCGACTTACTAGAACTAGGGACTTTCTACACTGGTTCTGGCACCGCTCATCTCAAGCATCGACAGCCGTCTCAACAGGATCGACCTCCGGTCTTGGGAGGGAGTGAAGTGGCAACACATACTTCTCAACGGATGACGTCACAAAAATCCTACATCCCACATGCAAATTAACACGAATAGAAAATCCCAATGAACAACTGTTAGGCAGAAAAGTACGATCACCTCGCTTGGTCGGAGGATCCTCCTTTTCCGATCTTAGGGAACTATACTCTCTGTTCCCTAAAAAACTACCGCGTCAGGAATTACGCTGTGTTTTGACCCCGAGGTCGGACATCCTCGCCTGAGAAGGATGAAAGGGACTGTCAGACTCTGACTGTCTAAATCCCATACCGGTGTCCCGTCTTACACGTGGTATGTATATCATACTAAGAGTATGTAACTCTTATTAAGTCTATTAATTAAGGTCAAAGTTTTATTTAATTAAGTTAAATATGTCAGGAAATATAATATTGCATTGGAATAAACTGTAAGATGTCATATTGTAAGGTGTAAATAAATAAATAAATAACTCATTACTTTAGTTGCACTGTAGATTTTACTCGCTGATGGAGTCGTGGACAAGACGTGGATGTAACTGAAGATAATTTTACAAATTTATTTCGCATGATTTGCAATTCATTTTATTTGGTTTTAGCGGTATTTCTCCATATCTCAATTCGATATTGTAGGTGCGGTTTATCTAAAGCATTTGTAGTACATTTTAACTTGTTAGGAATGCATTTGACCAATTGCATGTGACTCCTCTGGTGTTGCGGGCGTCCATGGGCGGTGCTGATCGCTTACCATCAGATGATCCGTCTGCTTGTTTGCCTCCTATTCCATAGAAAAAAAAAGTAATGATTAATATAGGGGTATTACTTTTTGCTTTAAATATTATGTAATATGTTTTGAAAACATTTATTGTCAATAAGTTATTTTGAAATCATGATAGCGAGATGTTTAAATCATCTTGCGCATGGTTTATGAGCTACATACTATATATGGCAAAATATGGTATTTACATATAGTTAAATACCATATTGTGAAAAGCTCAGAACATAACTATAATTATAATGTTCTGTGGTGAAAAGGAATGTGAAGGGATGAACAAAATTAAAATGGTTTTCTTTATACATATACCCATATGCCTTCGCGATTATCTTGTTATATTTATAATGTCAATAGAAAGAGAATAAAGAAATGAAAGTGAAAGAGAATATTACAAGGCTGGGTTTTATCAAAAACTACGTGACAAATTGCTTCGTTTATTGTCATCATGACGCAAACGTTATCGTAGAAATATTCACCTTAGGAAAGTTTTACTTTACTAGAAGTTAACGAGAAGTACTTTACTAGACTTTCTTTACAACTGTTTCGCAATGAAACTATTTGATAATAATATTAGACTACAACTTATTTAATTGCTACATATATATGTACCGATAATATTATTTTAATTGTTTCTTATACTGTTATATATATATTATATCTGTGGTCGCACTTCGGCCCTGTACTTTTTGAGCCTATTCATTAAAAACATACAAAAATAGGTACAAATCTTTCCTCTTTATAATATTAGTATAGATTATATAGTATTCCAGTGTTACTGAGTTTCTTAAAAAAATCTCAGTAGTAGCACGAAGTCTGGAATTGTATATGGCAATAGGCTCACCCACTATTACATGGGGCTCATAACATAAATAGTGAAAAGTCGGTGTTACATTGTACAGTGGCATTAAACGCCGTAATGTGCACCTCTGCCTGCCCGTTCGGGGATAGAAAGACGTGATGTTATGTCACGTCATGTTTTTTATACTGCCAATTTCAACCTATTTTAATTCAATTGTGAATCATCATCATCATCATCAACAGCCTATAAATGCCCACTGCTGAGCAAAGCCTCTTCTCACACGGAGAAGGTTAGAGCGTTAATCACCACGCTTGCTCAATGCGGGTTGGCGATTTCAAACTTATGATTAGAAATTATAAGTCCAGGTTTCCTCACGATGTTTTTCCTTCACCGTTTGTCAGTGGTGTCTAAATAATCTTAGAAAGTACATAGAACTCGGAAAAAGTCCCATTGGTACTTGCCGTTGGTAGGTTTCGAACCCGCACCCTCATGCATGACAAGTGGGCGTCTTAAACCTCCGGGCCACCACGACATTTGTGAATAAGGATCGATTATTGACACTACGTGTATGAAGTTTCTGTCAAACATCTGTCTTAATTCACTGTTTTTGAGATAGGTTATTGAATCGTCATCGTCATCAACCGCCTATAAGTTCCCACTGCTGAGCAAAGACTCTTCTCAGTGGGAGAAAGTTTGTTGTTTTCATTACGGGTTCGCAATTTCAAACTTATAATTAGAATTTTAAGTCTAGGTGCTTCTTGGACAAAACTTGTAAATGATGAAAAGAATCATAGTCATTATAAGACGTACGGTTTTGCGCGTTAGGTATACGTTTTTTTTTTAAGGGGGGGAAATCATCGAATGACTGCTCCCGCCTGGGTGAAGCGGGAGGGAGTGTCAGACTCTTACTGACTAAAAACCACCCCGTTCCTTCTCCTGCACGTCGAGCCGGAGCCCCGGTTACCCGTTAGGTTCTCCGCGACTAGGTATACGTTTAAATATCCTGTATTGAACAATAACAGCGAAGTTAGTGTACTGATACTGCAAGGAGACTTATTCAAGAGGCACTTCAATCACTGATACACTCGTCTTCTTCATCTGATGTTCTTCCTAAAGAATAAAATTTAAGTGTTGGAGAGCCAAGAGTGTCGAAGCATGCGACACGAATGGGCCGGCTCAACCGGAGACTCGGCCTCACAGAAAACCGACGTGAAACAACGCTTGCTTTGTTTTTCGTCGTGTGAGTGAGGTTACCGGAGGCCCAACTACCGTTCCCCGCTCCCCAGTCTACCTAATCCCCTAAATCCCATCAATCCTTAAATTCCCAAAAGGCTGGTAACGCACTTGTTTACGCCTCTGGTGTTTCAGGTGTTCATGGGTGGCGCCGATTACTTACCATCAGTTAATCCGTCTGCTCGTTTACCGGCTTACCCCATAAAAAAGAAGTAGGTAATTTAAAACTCTCTTAGTTTAATTTAGGTTAATTCGATTTCGGTGGAATTTAGAACAGTAATAAATACTAGCACGCACTTAGCGACTCAACTAAATAGAAAGTGATGTAAGTAGACAGGTATATCGGCTGGTAGTTTTAAATAATAGGTATTGTTTGAGAACTGAGCCTGGTATGTCATTGAATTTATAGTCCACTTCACAGGAGCAATTTATTGGAAGATTATGGGAAAAAATCGCAGTGATAATTTCCTAGTAGAACAATTGACTTGTAACATAATAGTTCTTATTTATACATAGTTAGGTTTTACTTAATTAGTTGCAGTAATGTCTGTTGAGCATTCCTGACACCATTAAGTATAATGTGACCATTAAGTAAGATATTGTAATACTAAAAATAAAGGGTGCCGGGTGTTAAGTCATTCGCTTGTAACAGCCGCTACCTAGAGTACACTCACGCGCAGTCTTACGTTCAGGTACGGGGAAGGCTTGCGCGAGCGCAGGCGGGGCGGGGTAGGCAGTGCCGCGACGGACACCATCTTGGGTGCACGTGAGTGATTCTTAGTGTTGTGATTATATTCATGTTCCATCCAGGTTGGTAACTTATTCATTACTTAATCTTTTTTTGAAACAAATCGTTTCCTTCACCGCTTATATAGTTTAAGCCTAACTATTTAAAATTGTGCTATAACATAAACCGGTTAAGTAATAAACCACTTTTACGGGCCGACCGAGTTAGTCAACTACTGGATTTTAAGTTTGCTATATTTACTTATGTAGGTACATTGTAAGAGCAATTTCTTAATCGGGTACCGTTTTGTATGTGAAAAATGGGTTAGGCAGGTTAATGTTTTAAGTTAGTGTTTAAGTGAAGAAGTGTTGGGATTCTGTGACGTCACATTGCTGTATTTTTTGTGGTTCGAACTGGTTAATGGACCAGGGTGAATTTAATGTAAAGTTGTTTTGTAAAGGTATAGTATTTTAATACGCTTATATTATTTTATGAGATGTCTTTTGATGCCTAGTGCTCAAAGTATAAAGTGCGATGTAAATAAACATAAGTAAAAGTAAGCATCCTAGTTGCTTCCTCCGCAAAGTCGATGTTATCGGGAACCAGATTGGATGTGCGGATAAAAACACCTACTTTATACAAGATTCGCGTGTGTACTAACATATAGTGCTAAGTCCCGAGACTTCTTCACAGCGAGTTTCACTACAATCAGTTGAGACATTTCGGAATGATTGAGTAATAAACATTTAAACACGCTTTCTTATTTACTATTAATAACTAAGTTGTCATAAGTAGGCAATAGATATTTGATAAAACTTTCATAAAAATATTTAAATGTGATTCTTAAGGGCAGCCTGTGTTTATTACTGTAAAATAGGTCATGATAATATCACTATTTTCTGTTTATATTATCAAAAAGCGTATTATTTTCTCTAGCAATCGTTTCAAACAATGGGCCACTAAGGCGTTACGGTGGGTGGGCACTATTTTCACTACAATTAATATGTATTGGTTACAACAATTGTTAATGCCAATGCCAACTCTGGCATCACTTCGAATGGCACGCAGTTCCGTATTTGCCAAGTGACTTCACCAAGTGGTGAGCTCGTAACATTGGTTGCAGTTTTAAGGATTCAATACTACACATTAAGCTTTTCAGTTTTCAGTCACTTGCATTCCCTGAGCAGTAGGTAGTAGTAATTGGGTACTTGCAAAAATAAATTATTTCGACTGTTCAATACAATAAAGTATTAAAAAAGAATCATACTTTAATTAATTGATTCTATGACTAACTTAATTTTAGTATACATATATCCAGAAAATTTTTAAATAATATGTATGCTGTTTGACGCTAAAAAACGTGACGTCACAATCCACAATCTCGTACAAAATTCATAAAAACTGTCGTTTTTGACAGTTCGAAAAAAGATTCGATTTGACTAATTGGCTAGTACCCAATTCTATAGAACAGTCCCTAAGTGAGAGGAGATGTTATTGCAATACATGAAGTACGGATCCATGATATTTTTGCTATCATTGACAAATTAGATAGACCACAAGACGCATTGCTCGGTAAAAGCATTTGAAACCACTTGGTTTATCAAGTTAATAATGACTATGTGGCAATAAGAAGCATGATCTAATAACAAATATAAAGAACCCTCTAGATTCACTATCATCATCTCGAACACAAGCACAACTGGACAAAGATCGCATTCAAAGAGAATTTACCAAAATCCGTAGTTGTTGTTTAGATTGACAATCGTAGTTAGGTCAGTGAAAATTTAGTAGATGCAGCCCACCTCATAATAGCTAGGTTGCAGTTTTATACTACGTATTTCGATTAAGTTAATGTAAGTTCATTTACGGCTTAAGACACTTTTATATTTCTCATAAACAAATATTACATTGACTTAAAACTGCAAAAATGCACAAGAAAGTTAAGAACGTACATATACAGATGCCAGAACAATAACAGTCGTATGTTCAATACATACATCCAAACTAGAAATAGAAATACAATAAATTTACTTCGAGATGTCTAGGTCTAAAACATCAAACATTAGGTACCTATGTATTAACTAATAGAAACATTGCTAATGCAATGGTCTTATTACGCATAGAACATATCGGATTTAAGTACAATAATTGATATACAATATTGATAGATAATACACTACCTTTGGTAGTGTCACTAGATCTACAAAAGGGCGGGTTTTCAACGTGGAATATTTGTTACTTCGTTACTTCATAGATTACAAATTGTGAAATTCTCCAAAGAATTCTAACTTTGTTCGAAAATGATTCGTCAATAAACTCACATGGTCCAGTAACCACGTGGTCGCAACAACTAAACAAATACATAATACCTTAAAATTTCACATGTCTACGATACTATAGGAGCACGATTCAAAAGCTGATGTAATGATGACTTGGAAATATCGGTATCAGAACAAACCTTATGATGTAACCAACCTCAACATCACAATACGAATAAAATTCGTGCAGTCATTCATCAATAGGGTCGAAGATTCACGATAGTTGAATGAGATAAAGATGGTAGTTACTGAGATTATCTATTTTAATTGTCGTGCCATGCCCTTTCGATTAAATGGGAATGGAATTTCTGACACATATGGACTAGAAGGAATACTTTAATTGGTTCCATTAAGGTCTTCTTAAACCACACATAACATCATATCCCTTTTCCTCGGAAGAGTTATTTCAAAACTCCTTGATGAAAGTGATAGGACGATCTGTAAGATCGATGTGTTAGAAACCAAACCTGAATTCAATTCATCCCAGACCCCTTTAATAAATTCAGATAATATTTTATTTAACGAGTGTTATATTCAAAGGCAAGAATTGAAATGTAGGGGCCATAAGCAACTTGTCAAGACATTAAGTGGCTGAAAACCGCAACCAATAAAATAAACGAGACTAATTACATTGAAAGATTAGCAAAGAACATTTATAGCCAGGCCTTGACTATCACCGGCATTTAGTCTGAATCATACTTTCAAATGATTCAAAGTTGCAGCGAATTATCTGAACGATTTTTGTTAATGGACAATGCGTGTTTGAGATCACTTGGACTGATCAGTAATTACAGAAAGAATGATAGGCCAGGAGAAGGACAGGGGTATTCATTCACTTTTCGCTTGTGACTTATGATATTGTATTATTATGAAGTAGGCCATTTTCATGGACACTCTTTTAAAATTACGCTTAAGTATTAAAAATGGAAAAGCTACTTAATATGTTACCCAATGAACTATACAAAAGTAGTCCATAGGGATGATGACCGTATTTTTATTGAATAAGAAGACAATTAGATAAAACGAATCGTAGTTTAGAAGTGGGAGCTAGCTACGTCAATTTTTTGTATAAAACGTAAACAAAAGTGATGTCATGCAGTATTTCAAATTAATACATCGTCGAAAGTATTTATTTCCGCAAGAAAATAAAAAATACGCGTCTAATGTTTTAAATCATCTACCAGACGGACATTAAAATAAAAATTAGTCATCTACCATATTATCGCAATCGAGCAAAAACCATCTATGTACATCAATCAATGTATCTAAACAAGTATAGATACAGCAAAACGAGCCGATTTGTGTATAAAAAGCTTCTTTAACACATTACAAATAGCTACCGGGCATAAATAAAACAACAAAAAATAAAACCGTTATTAATGTCGTGGCTAACCATAAAAAATCATATCGTCTAATATTTTGGCGCATACCCTATACGGCATGTGAAAACTAACAGAACATTTGATTTGACCTGAAACTTGAAAGGTCGTAGGTTTGTAATTTTTATATGATTTTTATCTTAAGAGATATTATGGAGTTTCTGGAACAAGACTGTTTGTATACAATTGAGCATCTAGCGTCATATTGAGGAATTGGTTGATAAAAGATTAAACTTAGATTTACCCGACCTAAAAACCCATAAGCTACCTTGGAAGTAGCAGAAATTAGATGCACTTCTCTTTCGTAATGGGACAAAAACCGGCGATTTATGTGTAAGCGTTCCTTGACAATGAAAAGGTGTAAAAACAACAGTGTAACAGTTCACATAGTATGAATGGTGACGTTTCACGTCGTAATGAACATCCGGTAGTTTGTATGTATGAGCGGCGCAAGCAGTGAACGATGGCGATTGCGGTGGACCATCAAAATGGACAAATAAAAGTCGAAATTACCAGAAAAAACGTGGTTTGACTATTGCTCTTGTATGTTACGTTTTATTTGTATTTTACACTCATAACATTCGAATAGTCGGTGTTAACCACAAAACTACTTTTAATTGATTCCGTACAGTAATCACATAAAAGATGTTAATCTACCCATTTGAGATGAGATCAACAACGTGGGTAAGTACACCTATCTGTCCAATTATCGGCTGTTAGTTTGGCTGTTAGTTTAAACTATGAGAAAAGAGGTCAATCGTAACTCGAACAGCTTGTAGAAAGCGACGCAACATTTGCTTGATCTGAACATCGCACAGTCAAAAAACCAGTTTATCTTAGACAAGCAAGTTTAAAAAACTATTGTGTTGTTAGTAGTCAAATAATTCATTTTAATTTAGACCAAAAATAAAGTTTTGGACGTGAAACAATGAAATGACAATATGTCTATTCTTAGTGAAGGTTCGTTCCAAAATGTAGATAAAGATGAATTACTAAAAAATTCAATGGTAACTCTTATCATTATTAAGGATGGTTGGCTCGTCGTGTGTCTTCGCTACCGCTCATCATTTCCACCACCATCATGCACACATAAATGCAGTGGAGAGTTGAACAACTGGGTCGGTAGCACCACCGGACGCAGAACGCGTAGTTTTCTTTACTTTCATTATGTTTTGCAAAACAGAAGGGAAAAATTTGCTTCTATTTATATGTTACTTCCGGCTGATCTGATGGTAATATATTACTCATATTTCACAACATGGTATTGTCTCTTTACGTCGACTCATGTCCTTATTCAAGTACAGGACCTAGATGTGTTATTTCTTACAATACTAGCAGTTTTAGCACATACTAAGGTAAAAGTAGGTCACATGTCCACCTGTCCAA